GAAGGAATTGCAGTGACTTCAGGACTCTCTGAGTCTCAGGAAGTGATTTCCTTTCTTGGCCTCACTTGCTGGAGCCTGATGACACACGGCTTCTTCATTTTGGCTTTTGTTTTGTAAAATAAATGATGACATGGTATAAATTGTCATGTATGGTTCATCTGAGATTGTATTTCCCTACTTCTGAAAACTGCTGAGGACCAGATGATTTTTACTATATCCTGATGCATAAAACCATATAACTCAAAGTGATATACAGTACTTGATTTGGCAGCCAAGCCCAGAGTGGAGGCCAGCACTGGAAGAAGTAATTGCTTGTTACAGTCACCCAGAAAATGACTGAGTTTACTTAATACGCTAAAGAAACGTGTTTGGGTAGTTTATGATTCAATATACTGAGTTACCCAAACAATGATGCTAATTTACAGTATAGTGTGTGGCACAATCTCAGGCAACTGTGTTATTTTAATAAAGCATGGTACAAGCCTAATCAAAGAAAGTATGCTGGCTTTGTAATCAAAATAACCATTTATGTATCTTCTGAATTTTCAGGCAGGGGCTTTTTACTGCCATTTGTTTTAAACATGCTTATATAGTGACTCTGTTCACATGACACATTGAACCATGTCATAACCACAGCTTACTTGACCCATTTTATCATTTGTACAAAAACATAACCTAATCCACTTGGGTGGAGTTTAAACAGAGTATTTAGCTAAAATGTGGTTGGCTGAGGAGTTCAGGTCATAAAATGTAGTCCATAGTTAACTAATAGTACCCAATAATTGATTAGAATCATTTTGAAAAGTGCCCCCGTCTCTTAAAGTTGCTGATCTGAACATAAAAGGCACACGTTACTGTGGAATATTAATTAGACAAACCAAACCAAAACACTTACCTGCATGTTGGACAGCTGCTCCTCATGATCGAGCTGATTTGTTTAAATTTGAAATGAAAGAACAAGAAGTAAAATGTGTATGATAAAATGGCCTAAGAACTATATACTGAGGGACTAATAGGAAAACATCTGGACTGAACAGTTGGAAACTTACATTGTTGTAATTAAAAAGAGAATTTTTATAAAATGACGGACCATTACTACTACTTGAGTCCAAATCTACGTTGGAAATGTGGAAAAAAATAAAAAGTCATTTTATCATATTTCGTGGACTTGTAAAAAAGCTAGGACACTCCGAGTTCAAATAAAAGATAAAGTTGTGTCTGCCTCTGGTTTGTGTGTGCTCATCTCTGTTTCTTAGTCAAGGGAGCCAGCGTTGTCTGAAAATACTTTCATGGTCACGTGGACAGCATGACTACATGCCAAGGTGCGCGGAATGCTGTTACCTTCCCACTGAAGTGGTACCTATTTATCTACTCACATTTGCCTGCTTTCAAACTGCGAGGTGGGTAGGAGTTGGGGCAAACCTCCTCGTGCAGCTCACGTTGGTTTTGAATCTGGGCTGTCAGTTTTCCAGCTGACAAGCTCAGCATCTTTAACCCCTGAGCCATTACAATAATAAAAAGGTTTTTAAAAAACCAATATTTATCTAAAAGAGCTGTTCTTGCCTAAAGGACTAACTAAAACTAGGAACTAAAGGACAAACAATTAGAAAAGACAATTATTTTTAATATGGCAACTGCTGCCAAGTTGCTTATATGCACGAAGATGGAAAACTTCTGAAATACCTACAGTGAAGGAATGATTGGTGAAGATGACAGAATTTGCAGAGATTGCAAAATTGACTTGTTTAATAGGAGAAAAGACAATTAACTGTCTTAAGATTGATAATGGCATTTCAACCTAGACGCTAAATGTCAAAAACTACATTTGCCAAAAGTGTATTCAAGCACACTTTGTTAGGACCTATTCTACTGCCAGTGCCTTTCGTTCATACTTGTGATAAAAGTGTTGTTCCTGCAAATAATAACTAATTATTACTACTGACTGTATATTACCGAGCTGGAAAAGACTATTAACTACATTTATTAGTTATTGGAAATCCTTTATGGACTTTTTGCTAAAAAAAGGGGGGGGTGTATTTGTGATTTACAGTCATGTGAAAAAGAAAGTACACCCTCTTTTGAGTTACATGATTTTATGCATCAGGCTATTGTAAAAATCATCTGGTCCTTAGCAGTTTTCAGAAGTAGGTAAATACAATCTCAAGATGAACAATACATGACAAATTACACCATGTCTTCATTTATTTTACAAAATGAAAGCCAAAATGAAGAGGCCACGTGTGAAAAACTAAAAACACCGTATGATTCAATAGCTTGTAGAACCACCTTAGTATTAATAATTGGAAATAATCATTTTCTATACTCTCATATCGTTGTGGAGGAATTTTGGTCCAGTCTTCCTTTACAACATTGCTTCAGATCATTGAGGTTTGTGGGTATTAGTTCATGCGCAGCATTTCAATTGGGTTAAGGTCTGGACTGTGATTGGGCCATTGCGACACCTGGATTCTTTTCTTTTCCAGCTATTGTTATAGATTTGCTGGTGCGCTTAGGACCATTGTTCTTGTTGCATGACCCAATGTCAACCAAGCTTTAGCTATTGGACAGATGGCCTCATATTTGACTCTAGAATACTTTGGTATACAGAGAGCATGGTAGACACTGTTTGCAAGTGCCCAGGTCTTGTGGCTACAAAAGAAGTTCAGATCTTTACCCCTCCACCACCATTCTTGACAGCTGGCATGTTTGTGTTGATGTGTTTGGTTTTCGCCAAATGTGGCACTGTGCAATATGGCCAAACATCTCCATTTTGGTTTTGTCTATCCAAAGGACAGTGTTCCCGAAGTCTTTTATGATTTGTTCAGATGCAACTTTGCAAATCTAAGCCATGCTGCCATGTCTGTTTTTAGAGAGAAGATGCTTTCTTCTGGCAACCCTTCCAAACAAACCCTACTTGTTCAGTCTTCTAATTCTATTGTTCTAAACTCCAACATTTAACAAGCTGAGGCCTGTAGAATCTGGGATATAATTTGGATTTTTTGCAATTTTTCTTGAGCATTGCATGGATTGACCTTGGGGTGAATTTGTTGGGATGTTCACATCTGGGAAGATTGACAGCTGTCTTTAATAATATTACTTGTGAATAATCTTCCTCACTGTAGGATGATGGACTTGCTTGGAATTGTTGTTATATATAACTAATCATTTGGAAATGGCCTTATAACCTTTCCTAGAATGATGGGCAGCAACAGTTGCCTTTCTAAGATCACTGATGTGTTTCCTCTTTGGCATTGTGTTAACACAACACCTCAGTGCTGGAGATGAGCAAACCCCTAAAACTTTGGTTTTAATAGAGATAGTCACACTTGCTGATGATCAATTGATCAAGGCTGCTATGTAGCCTCATTCTACATATGGACAGATGGGTGTACTTTTTCATACACTGGCTTCTCAATTTTGGCTTTCTTTTTGCAAGATAAATGACAATGTGTATGATATGCCATGTGTTGTTCTCCATCTGAGGTTGCATTTACCTACTTTTAAGAATTGCTAAGATGTTTACTATGTCCTGATACGTAAAAACAATAGAACTCAAAGAAAGTGTACCTACTTTTTTCACATGTGTGGCTTTGATGATTAAATGGCATCAATTATAAAAAGTTATGATCTATCCTTAGAGGATAAAATTTGAATGCATTTATAACTGCTATAAAGATCTGAAGTCATATTTCTTTATATTTTGTCATTTTCCTATTTCTCTCTTTATTCTTTTCTCGGCACTTGTCTTTCTAAGACTTGTCTGCATCTGTCCGTACTTCCTTAAAGAACTGGGCCTTTTTCTGGGTTCACTCAGGAGCTATGCAAGGAGATAGAAGCAACGTGTTTACAGCCGCTTCCAAGTACTTGGTGCTTTCTCAATTCAAATATGTACTTTCCTGGGGATCAGGCAGCAACCTGTGAACCTAGAGGAAGAGGCAGCTTTTGTTAAGGAGGTGAAGACAGAGGCAGCACCTGTGCCTTTTCCTTTCTGAATTCAAAACGTTATGACAATTATAGACAGAACTGTTCAATAAATAAATAAATAGTAATTAAAGCTGGTATGTTTAAAATTGATACCAATGTTTTGTTTTTGAAACTGTTCTAGAATCCATTTAAAAAACTTTATTCTGGTAACTAGATTTTGAGCTGCACATTTTTATTAAACAGCTTTTTGAAAACGAACCCTTTCTCTAAGGGACCATATGCAGTGAGCACTCTTTCAACAATTTTTGTTACAAAAAACTACTGCAGGGGCGTAGAAGTCACTGTTAGAAAGTACGAAAGAAAAGTACATTCTGAACCACAGAAAGAGCTGTCTCAATTTCTTAGGATGTTATCATCTCAGGCACCTCCCAGGCAGCGATTTTAAATCCACTTTCTGCTGAGCAATATGTTCATTTTAACATAAGTGTGTGTGTGTGTGTGTGTGTATATATATATATATATACCCCTGACATGCTTAGGTTTATTACACCTGATGACATGGAAATAGCCATACAAGGACAGAAGCCAATCAATAAATGTCCACATTTTATTTATATACACGTAGAACTTTATACACAACAGGAGAGCTAAAGGTGCAGTGAATGGAGTAAGATACTGTTATTTCTCATGCCCAAAAGCACTGAAATAGACTATGGAAAATATTACTAGAAATCTGTAATATGATGCAGCCTCCCTCCCAAGCAAGTCGAAAGGGTGCTTGGTGGGAGCCACTCCCCTAGGGTGCAGTTCTGCTCCTGGCTCTCCCAGTAGGTAACATTTCCTCCCCTTCAAAGCAGTTCTCATAGAGACCATTCTGCACCTACGCTTTTCAAAGTATAAAAAAAAAACAATAGTTTGCTCCTGAGATAAGCATGCAGTAATAGTACAAATACAACCAAAGCCGGAACCTGATGAATGACTCTTTCCAGACTTACTGTAAAACAAGGAAAATACATAAGCCTCTTAAGAGCCTTTCTCCCCTCCCCTCAATCAGAAAGGTGTTTTTTTTTTTAAAAAAAAAAAAGAAAGCCTGAAAGCAACAAAGCTTGCCTCTCTTTCTAAGCTTAAAAGGTAAACTGTCTTTTGAGACCCTTTTCCAGCAAGCCAATATTTAGGGTCCTTTGCACTGGCAACTCACGGCCACAGATTGTACCTGTGCTAAATCCCCAAAGCCGCACGACGTGTTGGCGTTGTCAAGTGCGCTCCACAGCCTTGCAACAAGCTGCTGGTGTAGCTCCTGAACTAGATCTTAGCTAGCTAGCTAAACTGCCCCCACCCCACACCCCTGTGGGAACTTCTTTTTGGCCTCTTAAAAATCACACACCAACAAATTCAATCTGTGAGCCGCAGGTAGGCAATTGGACTCAGATTCAGTTTATGATTTGGTCCTCTGTGGAAGGATAAGGATGCCCATGGAAACGTAGCTGTAGAAAGGATAAGGCTACAGAAATCGGAACTAGCATTCAGTCTCTACCAGCTTTTAGCGGGAACCTGGAAACGTTTTCTTCTTTCAATTTTCTTAAGGTGCAAAAACAGATGTGGTTGAATGAGCGTTGAATTCTAATGAAACAGGTTCTCCAGGACACAGAGGTCTTCTTTGGAATCACAGACTGAAGAGTCTCCAAAACCAACTCTCTGGTTACTCAAATGAGAAATATCTTGAACAAATCTTTCAAAAAGATCATGCAGCACTTCCAGGCTAACAAAAGGTGTCAGTGAAGAGCACCTGTTCTAACTGGAAGAGCACCATCTAACTTAACTGAACAAGATCAAAATGATAAAAAAAAAGCACAGTGAGTAGTAACCTTAGCTGAGGAAAGAAAGAGACACTTCTGTGGCAATAACTGCCACCCGTATAAAATAAATTGAATGGTGAACTCTCATTCGGCCTTTATTAGTAAGAAAAGAGAACCATGCCCATGTATGCTAACAGTAACTATGTATTGCTAGAGAGAGAGCTGGCTATGTATTCCGGAAGGCTGAAAAGCTGATTCATCATCTATATGAAGGCAACTACACAGTACGTGCAAAATCCTGCTATAAAAGCCATCACTATTGGACATAGGTATCCGCAAACCGTAAAGGGCAATAAGCAGGCTCTGCTGTTCCAGAAGGAACAGACTGAAAAGTTTATTTACAAGAGTCCTCAAAAGAGGAATGTATATAATGCATGCAAAATGGCTTTATTGAATACAGCTCTCCTGATCACCAAATAGGTTCAAACTCTCACGTGGACCCTCTGTGCATTTTAATATTGGATTGAGTAGACTCCTGTTTTCTGAAGAGTTAGAAAATACAAAGGAAATATCAATATTCCAGGCTTAACCGAAGGAAGAAAAGGACTAGTTGCTTTACATCAACTTTAAAGCCAACTAAATGTCACACTGAGAATTTTTTGTTTTTATTTCTGCAAATGATCTCAGATATCCAAACAACACCTGCAGTAGAGCTTTCCAGTTCAGTGACAACACCCCTAAATAGCATGAAAATCCTGATTACTATTTTGTGTTATTCTATCTTCAGTCATGAGGTAGAACCTACAGAGAAGTGGCAGATTATCATCAATATGGTCAATGGCTTCTGTGGGTTTTTTTTTTTAAAAAAAGGTTAGACTGCAACTCTGAATGCTGCATTTTGCTTTACTGATTCCATTAGCCTATTAACACTAACAAAATAGAAGATGAACTAATGCTGTAGAAAAAACACAGGACAAGAGCTTTGTTTTTATGTAGACTGAATCCCATTTGTTTTAAGGAAGAAAGGGACCGTGGATGTCCATTCCAGCATCTCTGGTCTACTCAGCAGGGGACATATTCTTTCTTGGACAAAGTTCAAGGGTTCTTGGACAGCTGTTATGTAAAACAGCATCAACGGGAACATCTACTTGGCAGTTACTTGTAAGAGAACCATAAACCATTTAACAATATGGCCCCAGAAGGGTTTGCAAGAGACCCAGTATATTCCTTTTGTTTGAAATGTGCACTTTTGAACTAACTACTACATCCCTCAAAGCATATGGAGGAAAGTTGATGAAGGCAAATATTTAATTTTCTACCTCTGGATTTGTTTGCATATCTTTTGATGCCTTTTAGAAAGCCCCGTCACTCTACAGGCGTTATTTCAATTCAAAGCAAAGGCCGAGCTGCAGAAGATGGGTTTGTCAAATGCCAAAAGAGGTGCCTTAAATCTGATTTGTATGATAAAGTCTACTTGAATTCACCTGTTCTGACAATCCTGGATCTTTTCCTCATAATTCCTACAAATGTTTCCTTACAGTTTTGCCAGTGCTCTCCCAGCTATTTTAGTGCTGATAAACTGCCCAGAAGCATATGTACACACTCATACATAAGCTCTGCAAAAGACAAATTGAGGGCACGTGTTTAATAAGCACCCAAGCTGATAAATTAACCCCATCTGTAATTTCTGAAATGGTTTGCTTTAACAGTAAAAAAAATCTTCAAATATACAAAGTACTCACCAAAAACAATAACTGTCCTTTTGCTTATCTTGAAATTAAAGATTTGAATCTGGAAAGCTTATTGCTGTAGAACAAAACTGTGCTTTGCAGTTACACTGTTTGAAAGCAAACCACAATGCTAAAATACTGACAAAAACATATTCTTACTATTTTTTACTTCTGTATTAAGCAAAAAGAATTTTAGTCTTATGAAACCCTGGAACAGGAAAAGGAAAAATGCTATTTACAAGCTCTAGAACTTGAAGTGTAAAAATCTGAATGGTTCAAAAGTATTTTATACATATTTGTTTTAAAACGAGGCAATCATCAGACAGGAAGTAAACTCTGCAGAGTGGCTTTCTAGATCGATTTTTGTTGATAATAACTGAAGGGATAAAAATCCCCTTCTACCGTTCAAACTTTTACAGATGTTTTAAAGGTACTCTTTAGCTAAAACAGAATACAGATATGATGTCAAAATGTCAAGAAGTAACTCAAAGAATACTTTTTTTTAAAAGATCCAGGAATCAAGAGTAATGCTGGAAGAATTCCATTACATTCTTCCTAGCATAAATATATTTTGCCTTGTGAAAAAAGCAAGACCTTAGTACTGAATTGGTCAATGCACCAAGTTGACTCACTTTTCAAATGGCCTTAGCAAGGTTTCCGTCTGCAGGTCCATATTGGCACTATAAAAAGTTCAACCAGAAATTCTTTGATGAAAAAAAAAAGTCCCAAAAATGCTTGCAGGTATATCTATAAAGGCCATAGACATCCAAAGGGAGGCACAGATTATACACAAGGAGTTTTAGTCCAATACTAGTTCTTCTTAAGAACATCCACAATAGAGTAGTAAGATAACTGTCCTCAATATTAATGACATGACATCTGTTTCCCATGGTAGCAAATCCCTTCCCACAAAGTGCATTTTCCAAGAGGTCTAGTAGTGCATTTATCTCTGCTAGGCCTAGCCTTAACCACAGCAACCATTCTCTATATGGTCCATAAAAACACTTCTTGGTGCTGTTTTTACTTGCAAGAGCTGCAAATTTTTCTATTGTAACTTTCCATTCAGAATGCTGTCAAGTTTAACTTCACAAATTATTGGCATGTCACCCCACGTGACAGAACCCCAAAATGTGGTTTAGTTGCATTCAACTATTTACTAACTGTAGGAATAAGGCCAGCAAACACTAGCTCCCTGAGGTGAAGACAAGCACAGGTGGTAGTACTCTTTACCAGAAGGCCATCATTCAAAGCCAAACAGGTTCTTCCATCCACAATGGGAACACATTTTCAAAACAAAAAGGTCAACTTCTCATCAACTGCCTCTTGAGTGCTTCACTACTGTGGATGGAAGCTGTGTGGAAAGTATCATTTTGGCAGGGAAGGCTGTTGAAAGGAAAGGGAAGGAAAGGGAAGGACCATTCAGCATCACAGGGTTTAGGTATGACTGAGGCTGGAAAAGAGGCTACAGGGTCTACCAGAGGAAAAAATTCATACCTGATAAAACATCATTAATCCCAGAAAGTATTTTATGTATTTTTAGCCACCTTAGCGTCCTGTGAAGACAGACATCAAGACCACTGTTGTGGACATCTGATTAGGTACTCCTGGAATTAATCAATTCAGTCAACTGCAGGAAATTGGGGAGGTATGGAAGTTTCATCATAATGATGCAAAGCAAAATCATTCAAGCATTGCACTGGTTTCCCTTTGGTCATTTATTTCTCCAGTTGGGATGATCTGGTAATGACCAGGTTGGAGAAGATAAATGAAATGTTACATGTTCCCTCTAAAAGAGTATTTCACATCTGCTCAGGGGCAAAAACAACAGAGTAGGGCCTGGGTAAATCATGTGCATTGATCAGCCCCCAAAGCTTGAATGTGAATGCCCATTTTGAACAACAAAAAAAAGAGAGTTCAAACCATTGTGCCTCGCTGGAAAGTTGACAAGGAAGTGGAATATTGGAATCCCAACATCTACACCCACTCATCTTTTTCTGGGGAGGGGGGGCAGTTTTCACATTTCTAAAAGACAAGGGCTATACACAAGGGCTATACACAACAAACAGCAAGCCCCAGACCAAATGCCCTATGTTGGGGCCATGAATTGATTTCTCCCACAAGGAGTTCCGGCTGGATAGGGAAAACCAAAAACCATTTTGCCAGGATCATCCAGGATATCAAGTCCTTTGTCAAATACATTGAAACAAATTGTATTTTCAAAGCAGAAGAGTCCACTTTCTCTGTATCAATAGTGGTCCTCCTGTCTCTTCCTATCCTTGGGAGAGAAAATCGAAGAGTCCAGCCCAAGGCTACTGATTCTCATCCCTCATCTGTCCTATTATGTTGATAAGGCTCTCTAGTCCAAACACATATCCCATATCAGGGCCATCGTGTACAGTGGGATCATCCCGAAAGCCTTTGAATGTGCTGTGTGCGAAGTCAATCATACGTACATCCACCTTGGGCTGGAAGGAGACGGATTCTGTGCTGCCGACCTCTTGTAATTTGTCAGCAAGGGAGAAGTCCACTTGTTTTAGGCGCATCTCTGCTTTGCGTTCCAGGTATGTCTCGCTTCGGGTATCCTTCCCATCATAAATAATGAGCAAGGAGCTGGAATAGAACCGATAAGAGGCCTGCCTCTCCAATACAGCCTTTAGACTCTGCAATTTGCTGAGGATGGGATCAAAAAGGTCCTTTCGTAGCTCTATGCCATTGTGCAGGTACTGGCAAAGGGCACTGCGAAAACCCTCAATGGAAAGACCTCTGCCGTAATATTTGTTCCTGCACAAGTAGTGCCCTGTATTCAACTGATAGACCTACAACGTGAGAAAGCACACATTAGTTTAGAAACAGAGTCACATTTTAGGATGGTTACTGATCCATTATTATATTCTAGCCCCCCGTCAGGGAAATGCTTGCATTTTGAAGTGGCAGCATTCCTAAGGACTGGCAAGAAGAAACAAGCATTGGATCAATCCTTCAAAATATAGTTTATACCAATAAGAAAAAAAGGAAGTGCCCTATTCTGTCAATTTAAATTATTACTAAGGGCATTCTTCTCCATTAGACTGAGTAGCCCAAAAAATCCAGAGCATTAAATCAAACACAATATACCTCAACAGTATTTCCAGGCACAATATACCTCAACAGTATTTCCAGCCAGAACTGCTTTGCTAGCAGTTATTGGATAAGGGTAGGAGTTTTAGTGTTTCCACACAGGAACAAAACCTCTTCAATCTTTTTCTTCAAATTAGTAAAAAACTTTTTCTAAAGCCTAAGGCGAAAACTGCTGACTGGGTAGATAAATCCTTTTCAAACTAATTGCCCTGGGCATTCTCATTCCTAAGTAAAACATCCCACAAAGGCCATTAATCAGACAAAAGTTACAGAAGGAACTATTTCTTTTAAAGTCAGGCCATTCACATCAGCTTGGAAATTCAGAGTATGGCTGTAAAATCAATAAAAAGATCAAAGGTATCCCACCTTGTCACCAGCCAGCAGAGGGCACCAGCATGTAAGGCATAAAAAATACCTGGCTAAAAAAAATGTCCCAAATCCTCTAAACCAAAGATCAATATGAGGTACTGCTGGGATTCCCTGTGCTTTGAATGAACAGGCTTAGATCCACATTACATCTTTTCATTCGGAGAGGCAAAACGGAATGCAATTTCCTGATGTCCAACCCTACTAGCCCAGTATAGTAAGGATTGTCTTATAATCTTAGGCCACACATTATTCCAGAAAGCCCAATTACTTTTATGGGAAATAAACTCTATCAGTTGGAGTGCATCTGCTGCTCAGAATTCAAGAGGGCTGAGCTCATTTAACTAAGGAAGTTCACAAACACTGCATTATTCTGCAATTCCTCTATATCCCAGCGGTCCCCAATCCTTTTGGCTGCAAGGATTGGCAGTGCCGGTGGCAGTGCATGGCAGCAATGGGGGTGAATGGGCGTTGGTAGAAGTTACCGTGAACGCCCTTTCTATCTATGCTGCGAGAGAGCCCAGGATGGGTTGACTCCTTCCTATGACATCATTTAGCTGAGTCTATACTAAGATATAAAAGCCAGCCCCCGGGAAAGACCCCAGCTTTGGCGAAGATACTTGACAGACTGAAAGGTGTCTCTGAAAGCCCAAAATAAATACAGAAATATGTCTTACCCTCTCCGGACGAATCAAAGGAGGGGCTGGGCTCTCTCGCAGCATAGATAGAAAGGGCGTTCACGGTAACTTCTACCAACGCCCATTCTCCTCCATGCTGCATCGAGAGCCCAGGATGGGACATACCAAAGCTTGCATGTCCACAGGTAGGTCCTCATCTGGCTCATCACACCGACTGTGGAACCACTCGTTGAAGCACCCCTCTGCCAAAGGCTGCAGTCGCCGAGGCAAAAACATTCAGACGGTAGTGTCTGATGAAAGGAGACGGGGATGTCCACGTGGCCGGACGACAAATCTCCTCCAAGGATGCTTGGGTCGCCCAGGCAGCAGAAGTGGCCGCCCTTCTAGTAGAGTGCGCTGTCAGATCTCGGGGAATTGAAAGGGTCGCAGCTTTGTAGGCCTGCTCAATGCAAGATCTGACCCACCTGCTAATAGTAGGAGAAGAGGCCTTGTGCCCCAAGTGAGAAGGGAAAAAGGGAACAAACATGGCTTCCGACTTCCTGAAGGAGGAAGTGCACTTAATGTATATTCTAAGAGCCCTTCTTACGTCTAGCGTGTGCCACTGCCGCTCTAAGTCATGGTGCGGGAGAGGACAGAAGTCAGGCAAAACAATGTCCTGGGACCTGTGAAACCAGGTGTTAACCTTCAGAATAAATGAGGGGTCCAGACGAAGAACAACCCTATCATCGTGAAAGGAACAAAGGTCTTGTCTGATGGAAAGAGCAGCAAGCTTGGAAACCCTCCTGGCAGAAGTGATGGCAACAAGGAACACTACCTTCAGAGTCAGGAAACGGAGAGACACTGTTCTAAGGGGTTCAAAGGGGGGCTTTGTAAGGGCATTAAGGACCAAATGAAGGTCCCAGGAAGGATACCTGTGATCTACTGGAGGGTGCAGGTTGGAAGCCCCTTTCAAAAACCTCCTGACTGAAGTGTGATGGGATAAGGAAGAAAGCGAACTCCATGAAAGGACCGAGGAGAGGGCCGCAACCTGCCTGCATAAGGTGTTGGGGACCAAACCTTTCTCCAGCCCATGCTGAAGCTACGAACTTCTGCCAACTGGGCTGAAGCAGGAGAAAGACCCTCCCTGAGCACCATCGGGAAAAAGCCTTCCAGGTGGCATCATAGATGCGCCTTGTAGAAGGTTTGCAAGAAGCCAGGATAGTGATGATGACCCTTTCAGGAAGATCAGCCTCCTCTAGCCGCTGCCGCTCAAGTGCCACATGGTCAGCTTGAACCACTGGGGCTCTGGGTGGAGCAGGGCCCCCTGGTGAAGGGAGATTAGATGGGCTGGGATCCTCCAAGGAGAAGCCACCAATAAGTTGACCAGGTCCGCAAACCAGGGCCTCCTTGGCCAATAGGGTGCCAGGAGGAGGAGCTCCGCATGTTCCTCCAACATCTTCCGAATTACTGCCGGAATGATGGGAAATGGGGGAAAGGCATAGAGGAGACCCTTGGATCATCTGCACCGAAGAGCATTGGTCCCCTCTGCTCCCTGGCAAGGAAACCTGGTGAAGAATCTGGTGACTTGGGCGTTTTAAGGAGTGGAGAAAAGATCCACCTCCGGTGTTTCAAATCTGAGGGAAAGATCCCTGAATAGAGACGGAGGAATGGACCATTCTGCCTGGTCGACTAGGCTCCTTCTGAGCCAGTCGGCCTGGGAGTTGTCGACCCCAGAGATGTGGTCCACCGAGATCGACAACAGGTGTTGCTCTGCCCATAACCCCAACCGTAGAGCCTCTCCTTTGAGGGCTTTGGACCTCGTCCCCCCTTGCCGGTCGACATGAGCCTTTGTGGCCATGTTGTCCGTAAGGACAAGAACATGAGAGCCAGTCACTGATTGCCTGAAATACTTGAGAGCTAGAAAAATGGCTCTGAGCTCTAGCCAATTTATGGGAAGGGTCTGCTCTGCTCTGGACCAAACGCCCTGAGCTATCTGGCCCTGCATATGGGAACCCCAACCCAGGGGGCTGGCATCGATGGTTATCACTAGCCTGTCTGGGTCCCTGAACAGGAGTCCCCTCCAGATAGATGGGGAATGCCACCAATTGAGAGATCTCTGGATTTGTGGGGGGAGTGGGACCTTGATGGATGAGTGGCTGGTTCCTGCTCGTTGGTAGGGAAGCAGGAACTATTGGAGGGCTCGGGAGAGGAGCCGAGCCCACGGGACGATGCCAATACAGGAGACCATCTCCCCCACAAGTTTGGACAGCAACGACAGGGGGACAATTTGATGTTGCTGGATCTGGCTGATGATCTCTGCAAGGCTCTTTACATGAGCTGGGGACAGGAAAACCTGGCACGACATGGTATCAATAACTGCTCCCAAGTGCTGCAATTTGGTTGTGGGAGAGAGCTGGCTCTTTTTGTTGTTGATGCAAAATCCATGGCTTTGGAGACATGACAGGGTAATTTGCAGATCCCAATGGGCCGCATGGATGGAAGAGGATAGAATGAAACTGTTGTCCAAGTAGCATTGGATCCTCACTAGAATAGAACACAGAGATGCCACCAATGCTGCCAGAACCTTTGTGAAGACCCTTGGAGCCGATGAGAGGTCGAAGGGAAGTGCTCGATACTGGTAATGGGTATTCTGATAACAGAAATGGAGAAACTGGCGATGATGAGGCCAAATTTGGATGTGAAGGTAAGCCTCAGTGAGATCAATGGAAGAGGAGGTCGCCCTCCCGAACGCTCTCTAAAATAGAATGCAGAGTCTGCATTTTAAATTGTCTGTATTTTACAAATTGGTTGAGAAATTTTAGATCAAGGATGGTTCGCCACCCCCCTGAGGCTTTGGGAACGATGAAAAGGCAAGAGTAATGCCCACGTCCCCGTTGAGAAGGGAGAACAGGTTGAAGAGCCCTGATGTCAAGAAGGTGCTGAATGGCCTGATTCATGAGGGCCTGCCTGGAAATGTCCCGAGACACAGGACAGATCAAAAAAAATTTGAGGGGTGGCGTTAGGAAGTCCAATTGTGACCCTGACCTAATAGTGCTGAGCACCCAGGTGTCCGTCGTTGACTCCTCCCATTTGGAGGCAAAGAAAGCTAGGCGACCTCTGATGGGTGGGGAGAATGAGGGATTACTTAGAGCGACGGAAGGAATTACCCCCTCCCCCCCCCGAAAGGGCCGTTTACCAGTAGAAGGTGGTTGCCTGCCAGATGCTTTACCCCGTATTGGTCTTGGCGTTGGGAGTACGGCCTGTGAGAGCGGGGAAAGCGAGATGAGGTCTCCTCTCGGAAGGCAGGAGGGCGATAAGGAGCAGGGCGATAGTGGGCTTTCTTCCCAGAGAAAGAGAGAATTTTATGTTTATCTCTGGTTTCAGTGAGATAAGGTTCCAGAGCATCGCCAAAAAGCTTATCGACTGCGAAAGGAACTGAAGCCAGCTTCCATTTTCGGCGTGACTCCGCCTGCCAATTTCGGAGCCATAAAAGTCTTCTTGCTGCTACAGAAGATGCCATGGCCTTGGATGCAAATTTGGCGGAATTGAGAGTGGCATCCACAGTGAATTCCACCGCTGCAATAATCTTATTACGGTCTTGGTGAGACCAAAGGTCAGAAGCAGGCAATCTATTCTGGAGTTGGCGCAGCCAACATATGGATGCCCTGGTGAAGAAGGATGCTGCTGTTGAAGCCTGAACAGCCCAAGCAGCAGCCTGGTGACTGCGCTTGGTTCAGAGCGTTTATCATCCGGCTTCAGGATATCTTCTGGCTCCATGAGAGTGCCAGAAGATGAGAACGAGGCCAGAACTGGAATGTTAACAGAAGGCACTGCCAGGGCATTGTCCAGAGCTGCGCTGACATTGTAGAAATGCTTATCTAGAGAAGATGGGCGAGGACCTGCCGAAGGAGAAGCGCACTGTTCCTTGACCATGTCCAGGAACAAAATGGGAGAAGGCAAAACCTCTGTATGTACTACAGGCTTGGAGAAGAGCAAATCCCCTTGGCTCCAGGGATTTCCTTGTGGCTCGGGAGCCACTTCCTCTGGCGACAGCTTGGCAGTGACCAAGGCCTTGCTGAGTAATGGCCTGAAGAGAGTAGGTTTGAAGACCAATGCAGAGGATGTCTGCTCTGGGCGAGAATCCTCTTCCTCTGAAAGATTTTGGTCAAAAATCTCACCCTCTTCACACTCTGAATGAGAAGAGTAACTGTGTTCAGGTGGTGAAGGCCTTCCTTCCTCATCAACCTCCTCCCATTCTGGTAGAGAAGAATGGACCCTGAGGTCCTGGAGCCTGTGTAAATCAGGATGATGAGGCAAGGAACTTGTAGATTGAGAAGGGAGAAGGGCCTGAACCCTTTCCAGAGGTTGAAGAATTTGCTTGAAGCCTTCAGCCAATCCCTGACTAATGGCTGATGAGACTACATCTTGGATATCCCTTGGTCTATGCTCAAAGGTAGAGGCAGAAGGCCGAGGCCCGCTGCTGTGGAAGTGAAGGTGGCTTCAGGCCTAGATTGAGGAGAGGTTCGAGGCCTGGAGGGAGGGGGAGGAGCATAGGTAACAGAAGCCTGTTGGAAATAAGGCCCAGATCTGCTTAGATCCTGAGGATCTGATTGTACTGTAAGAGCCTCAGGAGACCAGGATGGAGGATGGAAAGGCTCATAGATAACTTCTTCTCCCCTGGGAGGGCTTGGATGGAGCCCACGAGTATCACCTGAAACATGCTGTAGTTGCACTCCCTTCTGTTGAATAGTTCTGTTGAACTGCCTCTCTAGAGCTGCATGTCTGCGCTTCTCTGCCCTCAATTCAGCCTGAGTTGCCTTCTTAGGGACTAGAGCCTTAGCTTTGATTTTAGCAGCCACCTCCCTCTCGGTGCGTTGCCTACATCTTTTTCTTTTATTGGGCTTAAGAGACTGTTCCACTGGGGGGGAAAGCTCTGCCTGAGCCTTATCTTGCTCCATTTGTAAAATAAAGGCTCTTGCGTTGGAAAGAAGCTGTTTAGAAATCTTTCTATTAAGCCCCTTAGGGTATAAATGGCCCCCGAGCTTACCAAATGGCCGCTCACTTCGTGGTGGAAGGCTTGAATCAAAGATGGCCACTGACTATAGGAAACAGGCTCCAAGATCGAAGAATTGCTCCTTAGGCTATACAGAGCCTTGAGCAAAGGAAAAATGCAGCAACCAGCCACACGATCAGCTGGCTTGTGATCTTATCAGTTTGCCAATCGTTTTTATGATAGCTCCAAACTGCAGGCGTGGGGGAGGTCTGCAGACGCTGCTCAGCTTGCCTGCACACTCTGTGACGCTGCTCCCAACATTGCAGAAGAGAGAGCCCTGCTCTCCTGGAAGAGCAGCTGCCCTGGGAGCTGCTTGAAGAGAGGAAAAAAGTACTGAAGATCGCTGGAGCTTGCTATCTAACAGAATGCTTTCAGAGACACAGCTACTGACTGAAAGGAGCTGAGTCAAAAGCTGAGGTCTCTCCCGGGGGCTGGCTTTTATATCTTAGTACAGACTCCGCTAAATGACATCATAGGAAGGAGTCAACCCATCCTGGGCTCTCGATGCAGCATGGAGGAGAAGGGAAGCATTCATGCTCTCAACCTCATGTGCAAATGAAGCTTCCCACGTGTGTCTGCTGCTTACACGGCCAGATTTCCAGCAGACGGCAGACTGGTACCAATCTGTGGTCCGAGGATTGGGAGAACCCTGTTCTATCCCAGTTAAAAATACAGTTCTATATTTATTTGGAAATAAATCATATCATGCCTTATGAATATATTCCATGACAATTCACATAGCAACAGCAATAATACTAATATTTATATATCACTTAATAGTACTTTACAACACTTCCTAAGCAATTTACATAGAGAACATATGGCCCTCCAACAATCTGGGTCTTCATTTCACCAACCTCGGAAGAATGGAAGGCTGAGTCAACCTTGAGCCGGTCAGGACTGAAGTCCTGGCAGTTGGCAGAATTAGCCTACAATACTGCATTTTAACCATTGTGCCACATGGCTCCTAGTTCAGCTAAGATTTGTCATTCTTATCCTCTCCACTGAGATCTGAATATTGTTTGTGGTTTCAAGCATTCCTTCTTTAGGTTTGCCCTTTACCTCACAAAGAGTTGAAAGGCTGAACTTGGATGAAAAGAGTTTGAAGGGGTTTTTTTTTTGTTTTTTTTGCAATATTTGCTCATATGCTTTTAAATAACTCTAAAAATATGTGGTTTAGGGAGTAATAATGTGGTATGTATTCTGTTAATACGATCATTTTTTTTTATCATTTCCTACCCACGCCTGCCCTGTTTCCCAAATCTGTTCTGGCTGGACCATTTTTCAAAAGTGAGGAAGGAAGAGATTCCACGTTTCTGCAGAAGTTGGCAAAATATCCCATGCTCCATACACAGGAAGAGGCCAGCAGCCACATTTTGCTTGGGGTTCATACAGTACCTGCATTCCACAAACTCGGACTCCTAGTGTAGCTGAGGTGCTCTGTGCGCATTTCTTCATCTGCCGAGCAGCCTTCTCCTCAGAGGCATCATCCCCATGTTGTCTGGTCCCCATTTTCAAGTCAAGAACACAGGGAAATTTGAAATGATGCACCACATTCTCCAGCAAAAGAAATTCTGAGATGCTGGTCAAGGAGAATTTATCTCTTGAATCTCTTTGTTGGTTTCTATTGAAACACCAGGGCTTCTCTCTTGCTTTCTAGAGCAGCGGTCGCCAACTGGTGGGCCACGGCCCACTGGTGGGCCGCAAGAAAATTTGGGTGGGCTGCAGAGAAATGTCACCCCCAGAGCACCCCCTAAAGCAATTAATCCAGGCTGTGCAGGAACACAAGGCTGAGCTGTCCACATGGCCTGCAGGAACCCTCCCCGCCCACTCACTCCTTACCTGGCAAACTTGCCTGCTAAATTGCTATTTTTCCGACCATCAGTTGTTCTGCTGTGCCGGGAGATTTAGATTAGCTAGGAAGCAAGAAATAGTTGGATTTCTTGCTTTTTAAATAGTCTTTAGATCTTCGGCTCTGCTTTTAAGCACAGCCGAACTTCCCTTAAGACTGAAGGTTCTATTATTCAGCGCAGACTCACTGCAAGCAAATTTTATGTGACATACTCAAGTAGCCGATGGCAGATAGATAGATCACTGGATGATTCTGTGAGCAACTCAATCTGTCTGCCAGCTTCGCCTGATTTTGGGTAAAATTTGCTCTTTTTTTAAAATAAAAAAATCAATATTTACATACATGGTGTGTTGTGAATTAATTTTGTGAGCTTGCTTGCTAGCAAATTTTATGTGACAGACTGAGCTAGCCGATGGCAAATAGATAGATCTCTGAATGAATCTGTGATTCTGTGAGCAACTTAATCTGCTTGCCTGCTTTGCCTGATTTTGGGTAAAAGTTGCTATTTGTTAATACAAAATTCAATATTTATATAAATATTTATAATATTTACATACAAGCCATGCCCAGCCAGTCACATGATGACCAAGCCACACCCACAAATTAGGCCATGCCCACAGAACTGGTTAGTGATCCCTGGGCTTTAAAATTATGAGTTTGGTGATCCCAGAGGTCCAAAAGGTTGGCGTCCCCTGTTCTAGAGAACATCCTATCACTGAGCATATGTTCAGACAGACCAATTCAAAAGAGGAACAGAGTACTGTATGTACAACTTGCCACTAAAGATAGGAAGAACATTAATTTTCCCTGTCAGAACTAGTATTTGAGTATTCATGACTGAATACTGTAAATGGCCAGAAGAAAACAATGTTACAGGGAACATATTTGCACCATTATAATCAATACCACCAATGGTATGAAGAACAAAAGCAGACACCCTTATTAGAATCCACACAAATATTGTATAAAAGTGATAATGTTGTAAAACACTATAATATGGCAGATGTTGCCATTTGGAGGATACTGTAGAGCTTTCGTTCCTTAGACTCTGAGCGCATGCGACTCAGTTGTTGCTTGTGGCAACGCAAACTCCAGGGATTAAAGCTGATCTTCTCAGAACTAACACTACTATTTCCATCCAACATCTGAAATGGAACATCTGAATGGAAGCACTTGAGGCTCTTTGTGTCCTGGCTGCTGTTGATACAATATAATATGACATGACATTAAAAAGCTCTGCAATCATTTATAAGAATTGTTACAGCACAGAATAACATTTGGGTTGCTAAACTTAATTCTTTTTTTCTACATAATTCTCTGTAGAAAAAGAATTATATTCTTTTTGTGTAAGTATTAAGGCATTTGGAGGTACCTGCCGAAAAGCCAGTGCCACTCGCTTAGCATGGATCTTTGGTTTTTAAAAGAAATCCAAGAGGATGCTTAAGAAAAGTAATTTCCTACTCATTCGAAGGAAAGCAAAAGAAACCAACCACAAACAACCACCCCCAAAAACACAATCCAGTACCTTTCCGAGGTCTCAGAAGTGAGCCCTGCTTTCTCCTCTTTATGCTCACTACCACTGCCTGATTTGTTGAGGCTCCTGCGGGAGTGTTTACGACGTGGCTGGTCCCTCTCTGGTGTATCATCTTGCTCCAAGGCTTCGCTCTCCACATACGGATATGCTACCAGGTTAATGTAGCCATCACTGTCTCCCTCAAAACAGACAGACACTACACCTGCCAGAAATCAGCCATATGAAGCATGCCTCGCATCAGATTTTTAAATTAGTAGATTAGAAATAATAAAACTACTAATGATTTTTCCAAGGAGCAGATTGGAGAATGAAAATAAGGCTCATAAATCCATTTGTAGAACTACCAAGAAGAAAAAGAAGGGGGCAAGAAACAATCTCTCCAATTTGAATATCTCATACCATAATAAAAAAATATCCCCTATAAATATTTAAGTATTTCCTCTTTTCAGTGGGTTATGTAAAGCTGCGATGGTTTGAAAAAAATAACAGCAGATCTCTGAATGAGTTGCAATAGATCACTGTTTCTAACCCCCACACAATGGTACTTTGGTACTCATCGCTAATTTGTTCTGGGACGAGCGATGAGTACTAAAAACAACAAGTACTGAACAAACCACATGACTTATTATATGACCCTTTATTTTGGCTGGAAGAAATAGCAAGTCACAAGGCAGCCAATGCTAGCAAGCTTACCATACACATCAAGTACCAGGAGAAAGACAAACACTGAGACAAGATTTTTGCTTCCAAACATGTGAAGTACCAAATTCAACAAGGGTTGAAGCAGTCGAACACTGAGGTATGACTGTAGTTTAATTATCGCAGTAAAATGTCTGACTTGTTCCCCCAAACCAGGGTTCCCCAAAGTTGGAGGGACTGCAGAATTGGAGTCCTCATAGAGTTCCATACCAGTTCTTAGTCCTGAAGGTGAGGTGGCTAGAGACAAGACAGTGGTACCCAGGGTTGGTCATCCACCAAAGAAAACAGCCTGGAGTTGTCTTATATTATGGTTGGTATATTATTCTGAAGACGTTTGGTCAGCCAGCCATATATTTACACTGGCTTTAGCATTTTTATCCACCTATCAAGTCCTTCCCAAGAACTTGGGACAGGCAGGTATGCTTGTTTGATGGAGTTAAAGATTATTATTTTCATAATGCTACTGATATTAGTTAAAATAGTAGTTAATTATTTACAAATAATAAATGTTGGGGGAGGTGTCAATGAACAACCAGGAACTTCTTGAAGGGACTGGTGGATGAAGAGTTTGGGCATCCCTACCCTAGATTATTCTACTGATTATGAAAGTTTGGGATAACAAGCAATTGATTTGGAAATGTTATTCCCATTGAGGTCTGTCAATTAAATTGCAGAATTATTTTATTATTAAACATGTATCTTTTGAATTGGACTCCAATTTGTCAAAGTGGATCCCATCAAATTAGTCAACCCAAGCCTAAAATTCTGCCTACCCTTGCAGAAAGCATTCGTTGTACTATAAATGGGGCAATTTAGCTTGAAGAGATATCAACTGTTGGAAAAACTGACCAATGGAAAATGAATTTATATTTTTTAAAAAAGGAAAGAGAAATTCTACACTTTAAAATTTTCTTTTGATTTGGCAGATGACAGATATGCAATAGGTAAAAGTCTACAGATGTAAGAGAAGCAAAGCCAGGGAGAGGAGTAAAAAGAAGAATCAGCCTAGAATCGTTACATAGACATAAACAAAGCCCTCCCCCTTGATTGCAATTGTCCCTTACTTAACAGTAACTATGTGCTGACCATTAGATGAGAAGATTGCTGTGCATGAACTTTTAGGAAGGAATCAGTTAAATTGAATCTTCACATATAGACCTGATGTTTTGCACCTGACAATAGCACAGCAGTTCCCGAATGATGACCATAATGGAGCCTGACCGATCTGATGTTATGGGGGGGCTTTTTGCAGCAGTTGCTAAGTGAAAATAACTGTCATAAAATGAATACAGCGTTTGTTAAGCAAACTCATTCTTCTCTATTGCATGATTTTACTCAAATCCAGAACTGCTAGGTTTGGGCAAAACCATCATGTGACTGTAGTACATTCACAACTGCAGCCATGTTGCCGAGCACCTGAAGTGTGGTCACATGACCACAGTGTGGGGGGGAATCAGAACATCAGATTTGGATTGTAACTCCCGCTTTTCTGGTAGGTCGTATCTTTGAATGGACACTCAGTGGCCAGTTATAAATCAAGGACTATCTGTATATTCCACAACAGTGGAATATATTCTGCCACATGGCAGAAACTATAAAGTTTGATTTATTTATTTTTTTGGTGAAGGGATCAATTTATGGGGTAACATCCTCATCCAACTTATATCCAGCTTTTCCACCCAGATAAACACTGCCTAAAATAAATATTGGCCACCATGATCTACCTAATGCAACAATAAATTTGTATAACTAAATTTTTGTTACAGAGGTAAACAAAATGAGGTTGAGAGTATATATTTAAAGGACCAGCTTTCAAATTCCGAAGTGGATTAAGTGCCTTTTTCGGGAGTAGAAATATAGGGCAGCAATTTACATACTAATGATACACTGTTAAGAGCAACTAAATGTACTTTGGAGTCTGTCTATGAAAGGTATAATAAATATTTCAGTATATTTAGCATAAATTCAGCTCTGGTTATTAATTACTGAGTTTGTGCCCAGATAATGCCCAGATAATGCCTTCCATAAGTCATCCCTGTCCATTTGTTGGCACACTCACAACTTGCACACCAAGCTTAATATTAAAAGCTTTTCCTCATTAAATATTTCCAACACTTTTAATAGGAAAAGCTATGTGGAATTCTGATACATTTATCTTCCTCATTTGCTATAATATGTTGAATATTTTTAAAAATCTGAAGCACTATAGAGAGGTTTGTCTATGTCTGTATGTCTATGGAGAGTTTCAATCATCCCGGTCATAGTTGTCCCAAAGGTGTTTTTTTCAAGAGAAAACTGGACTTTCTGGTTTTTCTGTGAAGATGTTTTGCTTCCCAGCCAAGAAGCTTCTTCAGCTCTCAGAGGATGAGAAGCGAAATGTCTTCAAAGAAAAACCAGCAAGTCCAGTTGCCTCTTGAAAAAGCAGCTTTGAGGCAATTATTTGTGATAAGCATGATATGAAAATTTAAGGAAGACTTTATGTTTACCCAGCCCACACTTTTAACAATTTAAAGGACAGATTTGACATAGTGTACTCAGGCCTGTTAAAATTATGATTTTAACTAGAATGACACAATTCAGTTATTCGTAACACTAGTTAAAAAGATCCAATTAATTATCACTTCCTAATACAAATGTGGGCATGTTGTTTGATACAGCTATTATTCATCTTCATCAGAACTTATATGTTTCATTTTAAGTAAGTCGATATGCTCCACCAATTATAAGGATTTTCATTAAGTTAATTTTCAACAAAAAAATGAGTGTGATTTTTTGTATTTTGTAGCAGAGCAGGAACATTAAGCAAACTACTTCAATTAATTGTGAATGTTTTTGCTATAGTATGCTGGTATAACTATCAACAATTTATTTACTTATTTATATTACTTTTTATGCTTATTTAAGTTTTATACCAAAGGGAAAAAATCAATGAAATAAATATATGCCTTCTAAAACTGGTGATTCTTGTAAATGGTCAAATAGAAATTCTGTTGTTTTTAATCCTCAGGTGTTTTTTCAAGGTATTTGGAGGCTTACCTTTATACTCAGGTGTGAATTCCTTCATTTCTGGAGGCAAAGATTCATAAAAGCGTTGTTCCCTGGTTATGAGAGGTTTGCACACAGTGTGGTCATCGTAGCGCATCATGCTGCTGTGGCCGCCCACCTGATGGCTGAAAGGCTCCAACAGGACCCCTCGGCTTCCTGTGTGGGTTGTGTTCTTGCCATGCTTCCCCACCTCCATGGTTTGACAAACACACATTGCGTAGGGCGCAAGTCACACACCTGGGGCATGGGGAGAGCTGCATGGGGTGGAAGGAGCAGTTTCTCAAGGAGAAAATTATCACCCCTTCGTTAGACCAATAAATGATTAAGCACCAACAGCCTGCAAAACAGAGAAGAAATGCCAAAGACTTGGGTCAAAAGCAATGTAATAAACCCTATATTTTGCTGTAACAATTGTCCGTATTGCATCTGATGAATTGATCCCATGTCAAGGAGTCTGAATAGGTAAGATTCGTTCTAAATTGTACAGTACATCCAATTATACAGTTACGCTCTTATTTGCAATGACTTATCCCACATCATATAAACTAGGCAATTCTTTTACCAGTATAACTTATGGGCACCAAAGACGTGATCCAAACAACATGTGGCTTCCTGATTTACATACTGGATCTCTAACATTAGAAAAAGATGCATTATTTCTTTTTAACCAAAAGTCTCACTAGCACTCTGACTTTCACTAATCTCAATTCCTACTAAAAATGAAATTCTGCACTAATTAAGGAAGGAATCAAACTGTAATGATCCCTAAATTAGATTGGCTTCACCGATTTGGAGTTCTGTGTATGACAGCTGCCATCCTTTGTTTTTTTGTTTTACCCCTTTTTAGATTAAAATTATACATTGTACATTTGGCTGCAATTTAACTTTTCCCAGTAAAACCTTCATCAAGTACAACTGAATAACTGTACAACTAACCCTTTGGATTCATATTTTTTTACAAGTTTTGCTAATTTCTATGCTCTTGACTTTGGGCAAAAATACCAAAAATATGTTTCCTTTTATTTGCTCTGTTCCCTCTCTGTTCCTTCCAAATAGACCAAAAAAAGAATTTCTTCAAAAAAATGTGTTAAATTCTCCAGGTGTATGGCCTAAGGTATGTTTAGAGGTCTGAGCTTTATTTGCACTAGCTTAGCAAAATTCTTTATTTCAGGAGATTTCCAGGAAAAAATAAGTTGGCTGGGAGACTTACTTTTCTCTCTCAAATCTACAACATAGTCTTTTATAGCAATCGCTAAAATTAAAAAAAGTTACATACAGATAACTAGTTATTGGGTCTTTAACTTCTTTTGGTTTACTCACATACTTTTTTCTTTTTCTTTTTTGTACAGCTTATATCACATGTACATTTTTTAAAAAATGTAACTGCTTTTGGCCTAGGCACATGTGGATTACGTTGCTTAGATTTCATTTCTAATGAAATATATTTCAGCAAAATGTGTTGAAAAGCCCCAATTATCCAAATCAAAATGAAATACATTGTCTTGAAATAATATCATGAAAGGGAATAGAAAGGCTGACTATTAATAAAGACGGCTGAAATGAGAATACCCATCATTCACTTCAGGTGATCCATCTGAAAACAGATAAAAGACAACTGGACTACTCTACAATTTCTTTATTAGCAAGCTGCAATTGCTGCTCAGGAAGTTTGTAATTGAAGTTGCAACAGAAGGAAAAAGCTGTGGTGTGTGTGTGTGTTTACTGAGTGTATTTTTAATTCAACAGAATCATACAAATAGTATTGATCCACAATAAACAGGGAACGTATTCTTCCATTTTGTCGTCTTATGTATTTATTCTACTCAATAAAATATCCTTCTGTTCATGGTGAAAGTTGAACTTACAACTTTAAAAAGCAATTATTTCAATAATTTGAAGAATGGTGCTTTGAAGAATCCAATTTTAAACCCCTAAGTGTGAAACTCTCAACTAGGAGATAAAGCTATAAAACAAAACATTAACAAGACAGACACAGCGTTTTGAGGTTACCAAATTATAGTATCAATTAAGAAATACATGTTGCACAAGTATAAATTTCCACTTGTGTGACAGGCTTTTTCATTCTCCCAGTCCAGATTTGAAGGCGAAAATCTGATTCAGAACTAACATGGGTACAAATCTGTCTAACTAAAAAAGGTGCATCTTTTATCTGGATTCACCTAGAACAGGGATGTGAAACTCAAGGCCCGTGGGCTGGATCCAGGCTGCGGGGTGCTTAGATCTGGTCTGTGGGGCTATACTGGAAACAGTAGTGAAGGATCGGCCCGCAGTGCCTCTGTCAGCGAAAATGGAGCATCCCCACACAAGTGATGTCAAACTGGCCACGCCCACCCCGGCCATGCCCACCTGGCCCCCAAGGTCAAACACAACCCTGATGCAGCCCTCAATGAAATCAAGTTTGACACCCCTGATCTAGAATATATATGTTTGAAATGTTTGCTCTGAATCACTTTTTACCCTTTGAAGCAGGTAATTGCACAGTGGTATTTGTTTTTGTTTTATTAACAAGTGTCCTATAATATAATATAGTCTAGTAAAATAGATGAAAATAAAGAGTCTGATTTTATATATTTTCCTGTAACTGCTGGCAATCCCCCCCCCCCAATTATACATTTCAGCCCATTGTAGAGACTTAAGAATACAATCAACTGTTCAGCACAAAATGCAGAAATCAAGATGTGTATGTAATATAACATAGTGGGTACTATAGCTACTAATGGCTCAGAGACATCTCTATTCAAGAACAAATTAGTATAAACACTTCAAAAGAACTATTGTCACTTTGCTACATTGACAGATTTAGCCAAAATAAAATGTTCAGTGTTTAAGATACACAGTCTATTTGTAACTAAAACATTAGCTGATTTTTGAACGACATTGCCATCTAATAAAAACTGTTAGATAACCATCTGCAATTGTTCATACTCTTCACAATTTCATGTAAGTGACATTCACATGTAATGATTCCCTACATGGAAATATTTCATACTGAAGCATTAACCAAAGCGGGTTGAAAGTGCAACAGTGGAGATAGGAATAAAAATTCAAAAGTGAACTTGGAATAGGAGAATGGAGCTCTAGTTCTTATTTAACTGACCTTGCCATGCTAAAAAAAATCCAAATGTTTCAGCCTCAAACAAGAAGGAATAGCTCAAGGAGAATTATACAACATTACCCAAACGTTCTGATGAAGCAGCCCGCACGCACGCACATGCGTGCACACACACACACACACACACACACACACAAACATAAACTTAAAGGGGAAATGCTTAATCATCGATGAACTAAACATAAAACAGATGCAGTATAAATGACTCCAGATGTACAAAATCCACAAAACAGTATAAGTAGACAGCATTTCCTTTTCTCTAACTATAGTGTGAATATTAAATGCAGATATGGGTTCCAAACAAATCATATCTAGATTTGCATGCTGGGGAACCTTACTTAAGGGAGCAAGTTCTCACCATTCATACTTTTGAAGAATATGCTTTTCAAGCTAACAACTCATGCAGCGCGCGCGCGCACACACACACACACACCATTTTGAATGTCATAAAAGTGGGAAGTTTCTTAAATATAATTTCCTGCAGGCCAAAGATTTCTTACAGCACTGAATTCTTCCATGTATTTTTCTTTTTATATACCATTTCCTTTGGCTTCATTATCCATTTAAGTAACAAATTTAAGCTTCAATACTGATCATTAACAAGAACCTTGCTTTGACAAACATGTCCAATCTTCCCCTTCTGCTCCACCACCACTACTACCTTGCTTTGGATGTCAAGGGAGATGCAAAATTCTGATTCTTGCTCTTCTGGAAGCCTCAACCATTGTTATCTAAACTCTGGTGAAGTTGTGACAGGCCCAGCAAGGCAGCCATGGGTATTGCTACAAAAATGGATATTGCTACCAGATGCAAATGATCTTCCTTTACAAGTTTCTAAAGTTAAAGGTAAGCTCTGTATTTGTAATTCATCTCTCACCAGACGTTCTCAAACATATTCCGGTTGCAGAAGTCTGTCCGTCCCCCCCAAGATCCTTTGATTCACAAACCTGGTTACCATGGCATTTCTCTGATTCCCCCTTCCACACAGTGGCTTTCCTGCATTTGCTTTTTGATAGTATTGTTAGGTTGGTGATCAAGATTCTCAGATTGATAGTTTTATTTATTTATTTATTTTATCTATTAAATTCATATGCTGCCCATCTCACCATTTAGCAACTCTGGGCATTTGAGTTTTGAGACAATTCACTCTGTCTTCTCTTTCTGAGGGATTGGAAGTGGCTTGGGAATTGTTGGCCTTCACAGCCATAAACCTGACTCACCTTACCTTGAAGAATGTTTATCTAGGTAACGAGGATTGAAACGTTTTTTAACTCTTATGAAGCAAGATAATATTCGGAAGTGGCTCAAGCAAACTGTATTTCACTGAAATAAAAGGAGAGGAAGTAAAGCACAGTCAGACTTGCCAGATTCCGTTTTGTAGCCTAACTCAATGAAAATACAATTCTAAACTCCTTGCGCAGTTTTTTTTCCCTTTGCTCTCTGGTCTACCTAGTGGAGCTGATACCCAGGGGCCAAAATACATAGGTAGTAACACATAACACCTGCTTTTTGTCTCAGAATCGTTGCAATATGGTATGAAATTAGAAGACATTAACACCTGTCCTTTGCCATGGTCAGATTGTTTTAGAGCTTTTTAGAGCTCTAGGAATTTGATTAATGCATTTCGGGCATCTGGAAGATCTAAACTTTTTCAGAGAGAGCTCAAAGCGGGCATGTGTCTTGAGGCTCCAGTGATCAGTGTAACAGAGATTGGCTTACTAAAATGCAACAGTCATTACTCCTTTTGTATTCTCTGAGACACCTGGTCTTCTCATAACAAAGAGGATAGAAAACTGTTTCTCTAGCTTGTAAAGTGCAACAGGATCTTGCTTTCAATAACTGATAAGTTCTGGAATAGTATAAAACCTAGCAGTCTGAAGTTGCATTTCATCGCGTCCTGCTTTGCTTTGATAAGCAAAGGAATCCCAAGTTATACAGCTATGTTGTGCCATGAATGATATTAACTTTGAATAATAGAATGAAGACTATTTCTGCACTATGGATTTAATTAGCAATTACCATATCACTGACAATAATTTTAATGAAGATGTCTTACTGATTGAATGAGCTTCCTGTAGCCGTCTAATTGTGCATTCATCTCACAACAGTGGTGATATAACTGTAGGCCAAGTTCTGCACTTTATGCAATAAAAGAACGTGACCATGCTGCAGATGTTCTCTGTTTCTTCACAATTATTGGAAAT